CAAGTACTTTTTATCCAAGGAATACAGGTTGCTTTAATATCCAAAAACTAATTAATGTAATACAACATATTAATTAAATAAAGAGCCCTGGCCGGTTTGACTCAGCGGTTAGAGCATTGGCCTGCAGTCCAGAGAGATCCGGGTTTGGTTCCTGCTAAGGGCGCGTACCTCGGTTGCAGTTTGTCCCTGCCCTGGTTGGGTCGTGCAGGTGGCAACCACTCCATGTGTCCCTTTCACATCAATGTTTCTCTCTCTCTCTCCCTCCCATTCTATCTGAACAAAAAAAAAAAGGAAAAATGTCCCCAGGTGAGGATAAGAAAGAGAGAGAGAGAGAGAGAGAGAGAGAGAAAGAACAAAAACCATGTGATATACTCAATAAATACAGAAGAAAGTACTTGACAAAATCCATCATTCATTCTGATATAAACTCTCAATAACATAAGACTAGAATGCAACTTGACCAACCTGATAAAGGGCATATAAGTAAAATCCATGCTAACCTCATATTTAATGATGAAAGGGGGACTATACTTCCCTCCTAAGATCAGAAACAAGGCTGGTGATGTAATAAACAGCATGAAAATAAAAAGGAAAGAAAAAAAAAGCAAGAATTTCACTATTACCACTTCTATTCAACATTTTACTGGAAGTTCTAGCCAGTGCAATAAGAAAGGAGAAAAAACTAAAGGCATTGAGATTAAAGAGTGAGAAGTACTGGACAACTGTCTTTATTCTCAAATGACAGTATCTTATATGTAGAGAATCTCAAAGAAACCACCAAAAAAGTTCCAGAACTAATAACAAGGTTAGCAGGGTCGCAGGTTACAAGATCAATATAGAAAAATGAACAATATTTTTATACACTAGCAATAAACAATCAGAAAATGACATTAAGAAGACAATTCCATTCACAATGCCACCAAAAATAATAAAATACTTAGGAGAAAATTTAACAAAATAAGTGTAAGGCTTGTACACTGACAATAAAACATTCATGAGATAAATTAAAGATTTAAATAAATGGAGAGACATTTATGATTCATGACTGAAAGACCCAATATTGTCAAGACAGCAATTCTTCCCAAATTGATTTATACATTCAGCATTTATTAGAAATTGACAAGCTGATCCTAAAATTCAAATGGAAATGCAAAGGACCTAGAACTGCCATAACAATTTTTTAAAAGAACAAATTTGAAGGACTTACATTAATTAACTCCAAATCTTACTCAAAAGATACAGTAACCAAAACAGTGTGGTATTGACACAAGAATTGTCAATAAGTTCTGTTGATATAACAGATCACTAGAACTGAATTATGAGTCCCAAATATATCTCTACATTTATGATCAATTTATTTTTGACTCAAGTACTAAGACAATTCAATGTTTTTTAAAAAGTCTTTTTAAGCCCTGGCCGGTTTGGCTCAGCGGTTAGAGCATCGGCCTGCGGTCTAGAGAGACCCGGGTTCGGTTCCCGCTAAGGGCATGTACCTTGGTTGCAGTTTGTCCCCGGCCCTGGTTGGTCGTGCAGGTGGCAGCCACTCGATGTGTACCTTCCATGTCGATGTTTCTCTCTCTCTCTCTCTTCCTCTCTCTCCCTCCCACTCTATCTGAACAAAAAATGGAAAAGTGTCCTCGGGTGAGGATAAAAAAATAAAAAATAAAAAGTCTTTTTAATAATCAAATATACACATTAAAAAATTAAACATAAACTATTACTTCACACCATAGACAAAAATTAACTCAAAATGAATTACAGACCTAGATGTAAAAACTAGAACTATTAATTTTCAAAAAATAGGAGAAAATCCTCATGACTTTAGTTAAACAAAGAGTTCCTAGATACAACACTAAAAGTGTAATTTTTAAAACTAATATTTGAACTTTATCAAAATTTAAAACATATGCACTTCCAATGTCACCAATAAAAGGGGAAGGGAGAGGGGGATCAAATATATGGTGATGGAATGAGACTAGACTTCAGGTAGTGAACACACAACAGAATATACAGATAATGTATTATAAAGATGTCCACATGCCCAGCCGGTGTGGCTCATGGGTTGAGCATCCACCCATGCACCAAGAGGTCTCAGGTTCAATTCCCAGTGAGGACACATGCCCAGATTATGGGCCCAATCCCCAGTGTGGGGCTGGCAGGAGGCAGCCAATGGATGTTCTTGTTCATCAATGTTTCTCTCTCTCTCCCTCTCTCTAAAATCAATAAAGAAAAAAAATTGTTTAAGATGTCCACATGTAATTTATATAATGTTATTATCAACCAAAGTCATCCCAACAAATCTAATTTTTAAAAGTCACTAATAAAAAATTTTAAATACACCTAAAACTAATTACTAATCATTTAGTATGTTGCAAAAATATTTTGCATACATTATCTCACAATTGCCCACACAGTAAATGGCATTTCCCCAATTTTAATATAAGAAAACTGAAGCTTAAAGAAGGTGAAATGACTTGTCCATGATTACCCAATTAAAACGTTGTCCTAACCAGAAGAGAAAATCTGGTATTTCTTCTCCAGGACCCTTACAACTGCTTCTGCCTTAGAGTAGGGCCACATTCCCTTGGTAGGGGAGTTCACAGTGAGGATTCAGAGGGCACAGGGCAATGATGAGCTCACAGGTTAAAGTGCTGAGATCAGGCTAGCAGCAGACATGAGGTGGCACCAGCCAAAAAAAGGCGCCACCGGGTTCAGAACCCCACTAATGGACACGTCAGGAACCCAGAGCTCCTCCCTGAGTCCTGGCCAGCTTTGAGCTCATCCATCTGTCCTTTACTCCTCCTGAATGTTGCCCCCGTTATTCCCGAATGTGGAATGCTACGGATCTCAGACTGAATCCTCCAGGGCAAAAACAATTGTTTCCTGCAAGCTCCTCCCACCACCGCCACCTTCGGTTCAGACACCAGGAACACATCAGCTCGTCCTATCACCTGGGAGCCTGGTTGTAGGTTCCAGCGGAGTCCACATTTGCCCAGCGGGGGCCGCAGGTTCCTGGCTAGGACCTAGCAACACCGCCTCAGGGCCCCAGCAGGTTCACCCGGCCATTGCTCCGCCCCAGGTCGCGCCACCTCCGGGGAATTTCCGGCCACAAGTGCAGGAAGACCGGAAATCCAGCCATAAGAGCAGATGCAGGCTAGTAGTGCGGCTAAAACCCCCAATGCAGCCCAGGAAGTTTGAGTTCCTTTATGACCACCAACAAGCAAGGCCCTGACCAAAAGCATAAACCACTCCTGGAACCTGTAGCCCTTAACTGCTAAATGAAAACAAGTTCAATGACTTTAACTTTAGTGTAAAACAATTTTTTTGGAGAGGCTTACAGAGAATTCCTAGGCCGCATGCTCCAGGAATTCTGATTCAGTGGTTCTGAAATGGCGAAAAGAATGTAAGTTTTCCACAAATTTCCCAAGGAGTGCCAACACTGCCAAGTCACAGACCGCTAGCTTAAATATCCATTAAGACAGGCCTGACTTAATATAATTCCTAACAAAAGAATACTATACAGCCATAAAAATGTGAGTCTACACTGTGCTATTTTGTAAAAAGGGACAAAGTAAACAATCGTGTGGTTAGGAGACAGGGTAGAAGGAACTATGTCCTTGTCCTCTGTATCCATATTAAAGTATTATGTATTCCAAAATCAGTGTTGAGTGTTTACTACTATTAACACGAGCCAACGAGTTGAGCCACGCCTTCCCTTTTACAACCACAATGCACCACGAAGACGCACCTTAAACTGACATTCAGATTAAAAGCCCTGATACTGCATTATCTTTTTTTTATCCTCACCGAGGACATTTTTGCATTTATCTTCATAAAGAGCAGGAGGGAGAGAGGAAGAGAGAGAAACATCGATGTGAGAGAGACACATTGATGTAAGAGAAACACATTGAGTGGCTACTACCACCCACGTGATCCCAACCTGGGGGTGGGGGGCAAACTGCAACCGAGGTACGTGCCCTTAGCGGGAATCGAACCAGGGTCCCACTGGTCTGCGGGCCGTCGCTCTTACCGCTGAGCCAAGGCCAGGGCAATCCTGTATCATCTTAAGTGGAGCTTGACAAGTCAGACCCAGCTCTGCTAGCTCAGGGCTCATGGACAAAATCCTTCCGTGTGGCCTTTTCTTCTGTAAATTGGGCTTAAAACACATACACTTCGATGCTGTAGTTTAGGTCAAACTCTTCCGTTTATAGCAGTATAATAATTACTATAGTACTACAATAATATATATAATAGTCATAAGTTGATCATATAAAGGCTGCTATTAACACTCAATTCTACCCTTTCAACACGACTGGAAGGATCTGACAGTAATTTATAACATAGACAAACTGAGGAATAATGATGTCACCCAAAAACTCACCCCACTATTGGACCAAAAGAAGAGCGCAGGTCACTACTGGGGCGGGGCCTCAGGAGAAGATGGATTTACAAGTCGGTGTCCTGAGACAGCATTCCACTGGTGGGACGTGAAACTTAATCGGTGGTCCAGTTACAAGACCCTGTGCATCTGAGGTCAACTCAAGAAAAATCATTAAAATAGGCACTGGAAGTCAAGTCCAGAGCTTCACGGTTGTTCGGCCCCTTGGGGCTTCCTTACAGTGACCTACCAACCACAGCAGCCGCAATTGCGCGGCAAAGATGCCGCCATCTCTAACGGGGTGGGGCCTCGGGGGTGGAGCTTAGCGTGAACTCGCAGGGCTTTAGTTCCCGGCGGCGTCAATTGCAACCTCAGCCGCCGTCCAGTGCACACGCGTGTCAGCGTGAGGAGCCAAAGCTTCGAAGATTAGCGCGGTTTTCCCACAAGCTGGACTGCCGGCCTCCCGGGAGGCGACCCCAGAGCTCCGAGGACTCGCCCAGCGACGCGCGGTCCTGCGTCGCCGCCGTCCCCGGCCCGCCTCAGCTGTCATCGAGACCTGTCACTGAGTGACACTCGCCCTCCGCCAGGACCCGGGAGCGCCGCCCGCACCGCCATCGAGATGATGGGCAGCCGACTCCTCAGCCCCAGCGCCTATCCTGCGCCCTGGTGGGGAACGCAACCCGAAGGACCCGGACCCGCCAAGCGCCGCCGAATTGAGGAGCCCGCGGGCCTTGAGTCCGGGGCTGCGCTCAGCCCGCGAGACCCGGCGGGGCCCCCGGCCGAGGACGCGCTCACTTCCGTGGTGGCCCTGGCTCCGGGCTGTGCCCTGCAGCTGCACCTGGATGGCGTGGACCTGGTGCTGGAGCCCGAGCCAACGTCGGTCCTGCAAGTGTCTCTCGGAGGGCACACCCTCATGCTGGTCCCCGATGCCCTCTTGGGCTCCAGCGACGAGCGCCACGTTCCCGTCCTCCTGGATGCTCCCGGGGAAGACGTCGCCATCCAGCAGCGATTCTTCTGCGCACGCGTCCCAGAGATCGCTGGTCAAGAAGCGGCCTACAGCGAGGACTCGGACCTCGAGTTCCTGACTCCTGGGATGGACCCTGCAGCCGGCTCAGCCTCTGGAAGGGTGTTCGACCCCTACCCGCACAGCCTCATCAGAGTGCCCTCGCCTCGGGCCCCCACCCCCAGTCCTGAGAGGCGCTCTCCTGGTCCCTACTTCAACCTGGACCTCCACCTTCTGGAGCCCTTCCCCAGCTCACCACTCCAACCTCTACCTCCGTCTCCGAGTCCAGGCCCCCAGGCGCGCCCCCAGCGCCTTCCTGGTCCTGCTCCCAAGGCCCGGAGACGCCTGTTCCCGGAATAAACTGCCCCACAATTGCTCCCCACCTGGCTGAGGACCATGAGAAAGAATTCTGATAGCGGTTGTGTGTACATTGCACAACCTAGAAGAATCACCAAGGATGGATAATAGACAGATGCTCTTTTGATGCAGGCTGCTTTGCACAATTTTCTCTTAATGGTGGACTACAGCATTTGAAAGGACGATCACAAAGCAGCAAAGAACTTCTGCTTGAAATACAGGATACTTGACTTTGGGTGGTGAGCTCACAATGTGGTATACAGATGATGTATTATAGAATTGTACACTTGAAACTTATATAACTTACTAGCCAGTGTCACCCCAATAAATTTGATTTTTCATTTTAAAAGTACAGTGTACTGTCCTTGTGGGTTTGGCTCAGCGGTTAGAGTGTCCCCCCACTAACCAATGAGTGGCCGGTTAGATTCCTGTCAAGGGCGCGTACCTAGGTTGTGGTTTCTCCCGACCCTGATCAGGGTTCTGTGGGAGCCAACCACTCGATCATATCAATGTCTCTCTCTCTCTCTCTCTCTCTCTCTCTCTCTCTCTCTCTCTCTCTCTCTCTCCCCCTCTCCCTCTCCCTCTCCCCCCCCCCCCCTTACCTCCCCTTACCTCCCACTCTATCTGAGAATCTGGAGATAAATAGAAAAACATCTTAGGGTGAGGATTTTTTTTTTTAATTAAAAATAAATAAATAAAATAAAAATGTAGTTATAGACATCCAGATTGCTGCTTAGGTTTTCTATATATAGGTCACCCTTAAGCAGTCCCCACCCCCCCAGTTTTGCTTCATACCTCAGTTCCAGCACTTTTCTATAAAAATCCTTCCTTTCCCCAGCAACCTACCCACTGCACCTCTTTTCTCCCAACTCAGAGTAATTACTAAATTTCCTTTGTTGCCCTGGCCGGTTTGGCTCAGCGGTTGGAGCATCGGCCTGCGGACCAGAGAGTCGCGGGTTCGGTTCCCGCTAAGGCGCGTACCTTGGTTTCAGTGTCCCCGGCCCTGATTGGGTCTTGCGGGTGGCAGCCACTCGATGTGTCCCTTTCATGTTGATGTTTCTCTCTCTCTCTCTCTCTCTCTCTCTCTCTCTCTCTCTCTCTCTCTCTCTCTCTCCCCTCCCACTCTATCTGAACAAAAAAATAGAAAAATGTCCTCAGGTGAGGATAAAAAAAAAAAAATTCCTTTGTTTAATGGGGTTTGGTCCTAATGTCATTGCTAGTTTAGGACAACCTTCGCAGCATTCTGAACTTTTCTTTATGATAGCTCTAGCCCCTTTTGGGGGGGATCTAACAAATAGGTATATGTGGACAAATGTTCGTTGGATACAAAACAAACAGAATAGGGAACAATGATCATGCTCCCTCCTCTTTTTTTTTTTTTTTTTTTCTTTATTGATTTAAGGGAGAGGGACAGAGAAATAGAAACATTGATTGGCCACCTCCTGCATGCCCCGTACTGGGGATTTGGCCCACAACTTGGGCATGTGCCCTGACCGGGAACCTCTTGGTGCATGGGCCAACACTCAACTACTGAGCCACACCAGCTGGGCAAGCCTCTCATATCTTTTTTTTTTTATTATTAGCTATTACTTCAAATCCAGGTTGAACAGTACTAGGGGCATCCCTGTCTTATAACAACTTGTGTTAATCCAGATGCTTCTAAATTTACCATAAATTATAGTCTTTTTTGTACATGATTGGTAAATAAAACCCTTATGCTATTGAAGAAATTTTCAGTCTTTCTGATCATTAAAAAATTTGGATTTTTGTTTGTTTGTTTGTTTGTTTTGGGTTAACTACAGATACTTTCTCAGATTATTCTAAATGTTGGCATTTAAATGTTTGTGTATATACATAAAGTAACCGCATGGAATCTTTGAGTATTAGATACATACAGAAACCTGGCAACAGAGTAAATGAGACCAAGCTAGGGGCTTCGGGAATTTTAAAAATTGCATGCCCTTTGAGGACTTGAGATGAGAATGTAGAAGGGGAAAGGCACTAATTGCAGGATCACTTTATGGATTTTAAATGTTAAATTTTGAAACTAATTTTTCTCTATGTATAAGATGACTCATTGCAGTTTCTTTTTATATCTATTCATCTGGTTATCTGCACTGATAGAACTTCTAAAGATGAAGTATCTTTGCATTTCAGCTATTCCACATTATTTTATACAATTCTAATTCCACCCTGAGTTTTTGTTTTGTTTTGTTTTTGTTGCACCCGTTATTTGTTGCACCCATATACACACACCACTCCTGATTTTAAAATGTCATTATTTTGCCAAGTTTGCCTCATATTTTATAATAAAATAAAGTATTAGTGATAAAGCTAATGTCAAGATTCTAGGTTTTTTTTTTCTGTTGAACATTGGTAAGTATTTAGACTTACCCAAATGCTTTGCCAGTATCTTTGCTCACCTTTGGTTCTTGCATTCCACTTCTACATTCTGTCCTCATTTTTTTTTTTCTTACCAAGGTATACTCTTTCAAATTCTTTCAGCTGTAGCCTGTGTATAAATCTTAGTTTTATATGTCTATGCATATTTCAATTAAACCTTCAAACTTGTGAAATTCTGGCTGGGTTTGGAATTCTAAAATAATGCCTATACTCTCTCACTACTTTAAAGAGGCTGCTCTATTATTTTCCCTACCATTTATTGTCACAGATGAGAGGTCTGTCATTTGTATTGGCATTTCTTTATAGATTAGGCTGTTTACTTTAGTATTTTTCATAACGTTAATGTTCCACAGTTTCAACTTGATGTGTTTAACAGTAAAAAATTTGCCTGCTGCAACTCAGTGAGCTTTCTAAATCTGGAAAATTAAGTCTTTTCTTAAAATCTCAAGAATAAGTCAATATCTCTTGCACTATTGAACCCCTCTCCAATCTTTGGAATTTCTAATACAGAAGTGTTGAAGCTATTTAATGTCCCTAGCCCTGTGTCTCTTAATATCTAGATTATGTTTTTGTGCCCTTTATAATAATCCACTTTCTCTCTTCCAATTCACTAACCCTATCATTTTCTATTTTCACAATTCCGTTTATGTTGTTCATAAGACAGTGTTCATTTCAAGTACTGCATTTTTCCTTTTCAAGACTTCTAATTGTTTTTTTACATCTATCTGCTCTTATTTCACAACTTTTGGTCAATGTCATGTAAACTTCTTTTCTTGTTTTGTGAATGTTGTCTCCTTTATCTCTAGAAGAATTTAAACACTTATTTTAATTTCTATATCAACTAGCTCAATAATTCCATTTCAGGCATAAAATCTCCAATTATTTGGCAACATTTAATGAAACTGATTTTCTCCTGGCAAAGAAATTTGGTTTTGTGGATATATCTTGAATGGGAATTCATTTTCTGCTCCACGTTTGAATTTTTCATTTGCTTCTTCCTGGTTCCCTAAAATACAGAACTCAGAACCACCCATATGAAGTTCATATACTTGGCCACTCAAAAATCACAGTTATCCTCAAGCAATCACACATGGCCCAACTTCCAATTTCAATGCTGTAATGATACTGGGGTGAAATGTCCATATGCCCACCTCATCAGGAATTCTGTGAGTATTAGCAGCTGACTCAGCTGAGTTGCTCTCCAGGAATTATCCTCATCCTCCATGAGTAATCACCTTCAGTGACTATTCAATTTAGTGGTGTATAGGCCCAGTTCACTTGATTTAAGACAACAATAAAGGAACATCCTAATTCTAGTACTCTCAGTGGGTTGGCTAAGGCCTTTGTTGCAACTGCATCCCAGTTTAACTTCTCCATCTGTCCAGTCATGTTTTCTTTGTTTCCCCAAATTCCTACATGCAAATTTCCATCTCAGAGTCTTCCCAAACCAAGTTAAGACAGCTGTTGCCAGGAGTCATCATAGGAAGCAGCCACTAAAATGGATTTCAGAGCTGAATCGTGGAGCATGAGTAGCTCATGGCATGCTACAGCAAGGCAGATAAGATTTTTATCAGTAGTGAACTTACTGGGATACTGGTAGAAGAGAATACACTGACATTGGCAATATCCCAGGAATTAAAGAAATTTGGCAACAGAATAATTATAAGAACAAATATTTATAAGTAGCATGGATTTGAATGGCTGCTGTTGAAACAGTCAATGCAGTTGAGAAAAAGAATGAAAGACTGAGGGTGATTAACTACCAATAAAAATCTAAATATGAGTGAGATCAGGACAGTGTCCTTGGCAGCATACATACAGCCATTTGTCTCCTAGAGCTATAGGGGGTAAAAAAAAAAAAAAAAAAAAAACTAAGCAAATCTGTAATGGTGAAATCACAGCCTGATTGGGCCCTGAGACATTGGAAGGAGAAACCAGGTAGATACACTTTAAAGCTTTCCTACTCCCTTGCCTACTTATAAGTCTCTGTCAAATGCTAGTGATGGAGCTGACACCCTTGCTATAACAAGCTCTGAATAAATAGTCTCTGCTGTTCTCACTTAAGTGGGCTTTCTTTGTTTTCAGTTTTCCTGGAGGTCCCAGTGATACATAGTCTGCACTGTCCATTGTCAAGGACCTTAGCCTTCAATAGGGTGCAGTACACATGGAGACACTTTATGCCTTGCTACTCTCAGTTTATGAAGTCTGTACCAATGTGGTAAGTCAACACCAGGCTTGAACTCTCTCATTGCATTAGTTCTGTGGCTATTCTCACTTTGGTACCAAGTTTTGTTACTAGTTCCTTTTATTTGGCATCCTTGGTGGAATCAAGCCATTGCTTTTCATCTTCTTTTGTTTTCTGTCATGTTTCCATTTTGCACTGTACACACCAAAAGTGTTATTTGTCACAGGAACAAGAAACACAGGGTACATAACACAGTAATAGGTCCTATGAGTCTGTTGTTTGAGCCAACATCACAGTCTCATGAGTTTGTAGTTCTCACCAGACTGGCATCCATTTGGAGAAACTTTGCTGTGGATCATCAATAAAACCAAATGAGGTTCTCCTGTCCCGATTTTCCTTTTGTCCTGAAAGTTTG